ATTCATTACTATGGATAAATATTGCAAAGAATATTACTACGTCGACCCGCCATCAGAGGTCTATAGATATTCGCAAATTCTCGCAAGTGCTGAGATGCGCGTATATCTCTTTATATAGAATCTCGATTTAAATGGATATACCCTAAAGTGTGGATATAACCTAAGGTTAATATTACATTTGTCGTACGACAAAGCATTTCAAGCCTATTGATTGACGACAAGAAAGAGAAATTATCGAATCTCTCTACAGCTAATTAATGATTTTAAAATCTCTGTCGTACAAATGTAATACCAGCTTTAGCACTAACAAGTCTCGGCATCCTAATGAGACGTCATTAAGGACCACTATTGAGGCAGCATTCGTCGGCATTAGGGTGGCCAACCGTCCCGAATTTCGCGGGAAGTCCTGATTTTCGATTCTGTGCAGGGGGAGGGGGGGGTGAAAGTTACTTCTCGTGGAAAGTTCAACGTTTCTGAACAGGGAAAGGTGTAGAATAGTACTTCATATCATACATGTATAGCAGAAATAATACGTTAATTTTGAAACTTTTTTTGTTAATAACTTTTTAACGAGTTAGGTCCGACGGTTAAAACTTTCTCAAGGTCACTCAGGATCATGACCTTGACAACATATGTCAAGGTCAAGGTCATTGGAGGAGGCTCCCCTAATCTACATTTTTACCGTGTTATATATTACAAGGTGCCTTCGTAACGTTTTGTAATTTTTTTCTTTCTTTCCCTCTCTTTTTTTTTTACTTATAACCTTGTGTCTCGAATTTTGGGGATGTGTCCCGAAATTTTAAGGTTCACATCCCGAAATCAACTATTCAAAAGTTGGCCACCCTAGTCGGCATGGACAGTGATATATTACAGCGTGCGTGCAAACGCTTCAAACCGAGAATAGAGGCCGTCATTCATGCTAATGGGGGATATATCGAATAATTATGCTCTATAGGGATCCCCCAAGTGCCATGTAAAAGGATTTTTTGTAATATTTAATTTTTCTTTAAAAACATTTTGTTTAAAGAAACGGTTCGATTTGTCCGGATTTTGGTGACGCACCCTGTATATATTTTGTTAATACAAAAAGTATTACTAAGTATTTTGGATTTCTAATATTTTTTTCGTAGTAGTAGACAGTACAAAGTTTTTACTGATATAGTTCGTTTACCTTAAACATAATAAATTAAGTTTTTATTAGGTGTATATACCGGAGTTACCCTATAAAAATTAAAAGGGGAAAATAAAAGAAAGAAAATGTGTTTTTTGATGTTCGCAGAGTAGTAGAGCGGACTAATAATGTGCCGATGGAAACAAAAGACCAGAGGATATCTCTCGCGATACCACGAATCGATCTCGTCACGATTCCAGCTCCGCCGATCGACACGTCGCTTTCGAAAGTAAAAAGAAATTGCGCCGAATCAAATTAAAGCAAATTTTATATGCTATAACCTCAGACTTTTATAAGTAGACTGTTAACTTTGCCTCTATGTTTGAAGCAGCGATAGGCAACGTCATATTTATATTAACTCATTCTAACATATGTATGCGAATTACACATTATACGGATAATAACGTAGTGTTTTCACATAAATTCACACGATATTCACAGACAGAACGCGTATATGAACTGAATAAGGACAATTCGGGATCCGTTTTCAGCAGTCTAATTATTATAGAAGTTTGTGACTATAACATATCGTATATAGAATTATTTTGTCATATTTTTCAATATTATTATTATTATTGCTATTACCATCATTATTATTATTATTATTATTATTATTATTATGCGTGCTTTCGTTTTTAATGTGATATATTTTCGGCGTAAATACAGGTCGAACAATTTCCTAAAGAGGCGATACCGGCAAAAGAGACGCCACCAGAGGTGATACTGCCGTCGGAGCCACATTTTCAAACGACCAAGGAAAAAGAATGCTGGCATCTCTACAGGCGGATGTGTGATAAGGGTGTGTGCGTGTCCTTCGACACAGTTCTAAGGTAACGGATAATTATATCGATCAAATCGAGAAAAACCAAGCCAATGAAAAAAAAAAATCTAATCATTACCCTTAGGAAAAAGGTGCATTCGGTACAACGACCGCTCACTGAGCTCTCAGTGAACTCTTGTATCGGTTTGGTCTATATTTTTAGATCTAATGATGAGATATGTCAATCACATGCAAGAGCTGACTGAGCGCTCAGTGAGCAGTCGTCGTACTAAATGCACCCAGTGTTTCAAAACTGATTAAATGTTCAGTAACTGATAAAATAGCATTAGTTATTACTGAATATTTAATCAGTTTATTGAAACACTTTCTTAAGGGTAAATCTAATTTAAAATTTAAAAAATTATTAGAATAATTATAGCAAGCGTATAATATTTATACTCTCTAAAGCCAGAATCAGACTACGCATTGAAAATTGAGATTAAAGATTAAAAGATTGAAATTTGACCAATCAAAATAATACAAGTTAAAATTCCTTTATTCTCAATGGTCAAATTTCAATTTTCAATCTTCAATGCATAGTCTGATTCTAGCCTACGGGCCGGTTTCACCAACGCCAATTATTTAATCGGCCGTAGAATTAACCAATCGCATTTTCTGTTTGGTAAAATTGATGAATTACGGTTGACAGTTAATCATCGATTAAAGTTAATTGAATTAGTGAAATCGGCCCTAAAAGTTTTAGAGTAAATGAAGAGTGAAATCTTAAAGATTGAAAATTGAATGTTTTTCAAGCCTGGCTTAATTTGCGCTCTTTAGAGTCAGAGTCCACTCCAAATAAGAATTTAGAGAATATATAACTACGTTTATATGGCTCAATTTACGCCGAAGTTATAGCATTGATTTGATAAAGCTGGCCAATCTATCATAGCTATTTCTCTAAAAAATAACTGTGATTGGCCAGTTTCATAACATCGATGTTAAAACTTCAGCGTAAATCAAGCTAAACATTGTGGCATTGTTCATGAAACAATTTATCTCAAGGTATATTTAAGAACTTTAGAAAAATATTTTCATAATACAGAACGACTCAGTTTTTAGCTCGATATACAATAAGGTCGTAAACCGTAAGAAATTGACCAATCATAGTCGATTATTATCCTCACATTCGACTGTGATTGATCAATTTCTTACGGCTTACTTACAGTTTACGACCCTATTATATAGAATCGGCCTTAGAGGGAGAGAGAAAATAGAATTCATTTATATTTAATGCTCGCAATTTGTACATATGCGTGACTAGAAAAATGTATTTCAGAGGCATGCTAACACCGACGGAGTATCGACTACGACAGAAGGAATGTTCACAGGATTTGCAATGAGATGTTGAATTGTTTTCTTATTGACGTTTGTAGATACTTTCTTTAATGAACCGATTATTGTTATTTTTTGGAACCGAATTAATGCAATTCGGAAACGATATGCGACGAAACATATTATTATATACATGTGATTTATATATGTAATTTATTTTATAATTATAATAAATTACATATATCTCTATTATAGTATATATGTATTATATAATTCGCGTAGATATAATTTATTAGTTTTTAATAGTTAACATTTTATTTGTTTATGACGTTTATGTAATTTATATGCATAGAATAAGGTATGAAAATTATGAAATAGCCGTAAATTATTAAATATTATTATCAAAAAACCGAATAAATATCGCGTCGATAATAATAATTAATAATAATAAATTAGGTACACACGGTAAAGTCACAGGCACAAAACCGAATTACCTGATATTAGAATGGTTCCTATTAAACCTTAAATAAAATCCTACTGCCTTTTCCTTGATCCTTTAATATTCCCGAATTCTTTTCGAATTATTTTTTAAATCATTTTCGATAAAATATTCGATTCGATATCAAAATATTTTAGCGCATTCAAATACAGTAATATTTTATAGTATACAGTCACAAAATCTGTTCTTTTAATTGTACTGCGTCGCACGTTTCGCACCAAGAATAATATAGATATGCAGTATATAGCCATTAAAAAGAGAATAAAAAAAGAGATAAAAAGTGCAATTAAAGAGAACAGATCCTTTTCTTATTCTTTTCTATACAGAGTTGCGAATATTTTTCTTCGTATGTGTAAATGCGTATGTATATTCATGTATTCATACATTCAAATATATACTATACGTCCGTCTATATCCAAACGCAAGTCATTAAATTAAATCATTGAACCTATTGATCGAAATTTTGAACACCAGCTCACCTGTAGCCAAAGTAAGATATTTAAACTAAAATATCTAAATAAGTTAGGTAACAAAAAATTAATAATCGCTATGCAACATTAATATATATTATCAATGACCGATGCTTACTAATCGAAGCGAATTTAAGTTTCCTTTTCCTTCCGTTCCTCTTCCTTCGCCCTCGTGTCTTCTCGTTATCTCTTCTAAACCACAAAGACAATCGTGAAGTATGTCTGCAAATCGCTGTCCTTCGAACCGCGTCACGTTATCGCGAATTTAAAAACTAAATAGCAGCGGAGCAGAAGCGCAAATTACTGAAAAACGCGAGACACCCACATGTCTGTAAAATCGAAGCCGTGAAGTTAGCGCAAAAATTGGAATACGATCGATTGGCAATCTAATAGCGTTTTTCATTGGCAAAGCTAGTGCGCACTCAGTGCACATTAAAGCCGTTATACGCTACTCCAAAATCTGAATGGTAAAGTAAGATTAAAAAGATAAAATGCCTAGTGTATATTTTATCAAATAACACAATAAAATATATTTAAGATTTCGTAGTTTAACTCATTTCTATATTTTTATTAAACACATATTCTCTACATCGATTTGTGTACAACGGCATTAAACTGCACTGAGTGCGCACTAGCTCTGCCAATGAAAAACGTTATAAGAAAAAGAAAGAATTGACCTAAAGTTTCGTGAAGATACCCTGGTAAATAAAATTTGTCAGTTTTTTCAAAAAAATTTTTTTAATTACAAATTCTTATAAATTTAGATACTATTGCCGAAGTTTGATGAGAAGTATCTCATTTTGTTTGTAATTATTCAAATTTGTATATTTTGACACAATTTTCAGAAAAATTTAGAATGAGTTCGGACACATTTTCATTACATTTCGAACAAATTTTTCGGCCAGGGTAATCTTTTAAAGATAATCTAAAATCTAATCCCTATAAATGAGACAACCTTAAGCATTTGCTTCTTTACACGAATTAAGATCAATAAAGTTTATTTTATTCACGAGCTATGAATGGACGACGTCTTCACATAAAAAAATAATCTTCGTGGAATAAGCAATCTTTATTAAGACTGTCTTAAGCATCGCTTTGATTGGATATCATGAATACCATCTTTTGTATTCGAACTTTTTTATGTCCTTCCCCCCTTTCTTTTCTTTAACATCTATAATTATATACTCATTTTATCTTAAGTGCAAAAAGTATAACATCGATCTATGTGTTATATCATACTATCAGGTTGTTCGGAAAATTTGTTCGTTTCAATTTTCTAGCTCAAAATATCAAACATACCACATCTTCGAAAAAAAACAATCAAAATTTATATTTTAAAAAAGGAGTTTTTTAAAGTTTGAAATCTTTACTTTTTCGAAAAATTACTAAATTGTTTGAGTTTCTTTGTAAGTTTGATAATTTTACATATAAAGAAACTACGACCTGAAAAAGATGGAAAAATTTCTTTTTATTTTGTGGCGTTTTCACGTGCCCAAAAAAATTGGCAAAAATTTTCGACTACCTATTGTAAAAGCTTAAAGTTTTCTTTACAAAATCATTTTTTTTAAATGTTTCTTCGATTTTTGTTCCTGAATTATTCGCAAGTAAAGGAACATTTTGATTTTAATTGCTTACATAACTCCGTTAAAAATCATCGTACCGCAATTAAGAAATCAGATTCTTAAAACTGAAACTTTGTTCCATCGAATGGTATATAATCGCTAATTTCTTAAAATGTACAATATACTACTTGAGCTAGAAAATTGAAACAAACTTTCTAAACTATTTAATATATACATATATATATAGATATATATATATATGTATACACAATATATAAAATTTATAACAAACTTCTAATTGATTATTACAAAATAGTATAAATAATTAGATATTAAACGTTACATTAAACATATACAGTTAGACGTTGGAGAGAAAAGGAAAAAAAGGTAAAAATAAGAAATTTAACTATAACGAAAAAATTAATAATTTTCACACCTAATCTAAATCATATACTTCGAAAAAAAAGTACACTTAATACTTTAGATATACTTTCAAGATAATCAGTATAACTAAATATATATTCCCGCTAAAGTTAGCTTATTTTAGGACCACCCTATAGCTTCAGGTATCAGCCATTGTAGCAGAAATGAAGTGAGAAAAGGGGACGGAACAATATGATAACAAGTGCAATAGGTGCACTTTAAAAGAACGGACAGCTGATTCTACTAGCGGATTGTCAGCTCGAACCTCACCGAGGAAGGTTCGGCGCGTTGTCGTTGTTAATCACATGGCTGTGGGAGATGACATCCTTGTTCATTTCCTTGTCATGACAACGGATGCCGAGCAAGGATGTCGAAGAAGCACGGGAGCACGACTAAAGATTATAAGGCGCGTCTCGAGTACAAACTGTACCTGGTGCGTATTCCATGAATTAAGGTTATGATTCGTGGCCTAAGGCCTAAGTGAAATCATAATAATTAACTTCTTAATATCAGTCTACATCTAGAGCCTTTACCATATCTTTAGTAGACAATTAAACAAATAAATTATGTATATGTAGACGATAAAATAAAACAGGCAAATCTATAAATTAGGTTTACGTAGATTGAGGTTAGAATGACGAAGAGATTTCGAACAGTTGATTACGATTAATGAAAAAAAAAAACTAATCACTGTTTAATTACTTATAATTAATTAAAATTATTTCATTAAATAAGCAAAGGACTATAAAAGTCAAACGTGGTTGGTAAAGCGCAAAAAACTTTTATGTGCTAATCTTAATTAATTTTATATTACATATGTAGAGAGAGAAGAATCCTGATTATAATTGTTTATATTTTTAAAATTATTTAAATTAATGACGACCATATTCTAAATAATTACCAAATTAATTATTCATAATGTTTAATTACATTAAATAATGCCACTTTGTAATTGTCTTTGTATAAGTTAACAATATTAAATATATGATTAAATAAATTAGCAATTTAATATATCCTGTGCTTTTATTGTTTATTATATGATTATTATATTATTATTATATGACAGGCCAGGGAAAACCCAGAGCCAGTGTTTGATGTATCGGAATGTGCCTTGAAGAATGTGCCATCAGGCATCTATTCACTTTGCAAAGTGTTCCGAAAAAAAATCTTGCTAATGTATGATAATAAACTGAGCTCACTCTCGGGTGGAGGTGCCTTATGTGATTTGTCATTGTTGACTGTCTTAGACATTCATGGAAATGAGTTTACTACATTACCTTCTGATATTAAACATCTTTCATCACTTAAGGTTGGTTTATTAGATCAATCAGAAAATGATTTGTTTATTTCCCCTATCATTATTATAAAAGATAAAAGACATAAAAATGAAGATAAAAAAAAGACTGTGGAATTTTCCTAGCAGTACAATTACAATTCTATAAAATCCTAGGTTCAAGAGATAAAATCTAATTATATGTAAAGTTATTGCCAACATGAGCCAACTCTAGTTATTCATGTGAATTATAAGTTATATATATATATATATAACTTTATTAAAAATCAATACAATAATATAAGTAAACGTTCCGACCTTTTGTTTAGGTCCTCATCAGTATAAATTTAACCGAAATATTAAAATTTACAAAGATGTTCTATGTCATGTATGAAATCATAATGTATAATATTATTAGACAAGAAATAAAATATGAAAAGTTTTTTTAATAAGAGAAGAGAAGATAATTATGAATTAAAATTATTTAAACACTGAAACAATATTAGCTATCAAAAGCTAAATTATTCATAATATTATATCATTTCTTTATAGTTCTTTTTAAAATAATATTCCATACTTCCTCTCTCCCTCTCCCCTCCTTCCCTCCTATCTTTAAAACCTTCCTTTAATATATAAATAATTTTTGTTAAAGTCATATATGTATATTATAACTTTTAGTACATATAAGATCAAGAATATTAAAATATTATGGTTTCTTCAGGAGCTCCATTTGCAAGACAACAACATCCGCAAACTGCCCAACGAAATAGTATACTTGAATAAATTGACAATTTTGAATGTCTCGAGGAATAATCTGAAGCAGCTGCCTGATGGCATCGGGCAGCTGCAGCAACTGAACATTCTCGACATTAGCCACAATAAATTGTTATATAACCTGCCCAAATCACTAGGCTATGCTCAACAAGTGACGAATCTAAATATCGACGGATTAAATCTGTCATATCCACCTCAGGATATTTTAGATGGTGGCACTATAGTGATCATTGCATTTTTGGCAAATGAGAGCGGTGTCGATTACTCGCCAGAGAATTCGGTATCAGAGACTGATATTTCAAGAGATATGAGCTCAGACGATATGCAGACGGTATACCATAATAAGAGTAACGACGTACAGGTATTATAATGTAGTGCAGCAACATAATATTCATGAATTTTTGCTATATATACAATTTTTTAGCTACATTATATATCGTTAAATTTCGTTTATTACATCGTTTATTATATCGTTAAATATGTGTCATCAAATTAATAAAAAATCGCAAAAGATTATTTAAATATTTATAATCTTAAATAAAAAAAAAAATATATATATATAAATATACAGAGCTTTCGGAATTTAAATGTTAAAACTTTAGGAGAGAGAGAGAAAGAGAGAGAGAACATGTAAGAAATTGACAAACTAAAAAAAAAAGGTTCTCTAAAGATTGCTTATCTTGCTTCGTGGAGAAAATTGCAGAAAGAAAAACAAAACGTAGTTTTCGTACTTATTCATTCATATTATTTATTTATTCACATTGTCATTTGCTTAATATAGATAATGTTCAAAATGTTGACCTTTTGTAGCAATGCAAGCATTATTAGTACGGACAGATTATGTTGCAGCCAAACACTGATGTGATCAACGTAATGACTTGCCGATCCGGTACTCTTCTATCTGAAAATCAGTAGGCGTACTCTCGCATCGTCTCCGTAGTATCGTTTCAGAAACTATACACAAAAACTATATCAGCATTCAACGTTAAAATATGTATTTCTAAAATTTCTAATAAATAACTGATGAATTGATAGGAGAAAGGCAGAAATAATGTAAACGAAGTTTGTTTTCTTTTTGTGATTTTCTCCAAAACGAAGCAAAAACGAGCATATCTCTAAAGAATTTTTTTTTGTAGTTTATCAATCCCCTTCACACTCTGCCGAAATTTTAACATTTAAATTCATAGTGTATAGAGTAAAGTAGTAATTTTATCAACAATATTTCCGCTGTTTTTAGATATATGAAATAATTTATTTGCTAAAGTTCATAGAATCAAGGTACAATGTGCTACTAATAATTTTTCTATGGGTAGAGGGGCTTCGCGGAGATTTCAAGGTCATCGTTATTTTTTAAATGGAATTATATAATTTTTTTAATATAATGATTCCTCTTAGTTTATGCATTAGCGTTTTTCTTTGGCTGCATTAGTGTTACACTCAAATATGTGTACTGTGTTTCCATGGCTACACTGTACACATATTGTGCAAATTTTATGCACAAAGTGAAATTTTCCTACGCCGTCTCAAAGGAATAGTGCAAGGTTACACCTAATACATCCCAAGAGAAAACACTATAAAATTATTAAAGTAGAAGTATTGACAAATGAATAGTTTGCGAGGTATTTTGTACTTTTTATTCACATGTTGGCATAAAGTATTAAATATCTCATAAACTATTGGTTTTTTAATATCTTTACTTTAATACTTCTATATGCATAATAATTGGAGGAATCATACTACATAAAAAAATCATGTAATTCTATTTAAAAATATGGATATAACTTTGAAATCTCCGAAATGTCTATTCATAGAAAAATTATTAGTAACATATCGTACTCGACTTGATGCTATGGTATATATTTCAGTAAATAAATTATTTTATATCTCTAAAAATAGCGGAGATCATGACGTAAGGATACCAGGTGTACCGTTCTCATGGATGCACAGTCGTTCAATTAATGGCCGCTCTTGGCTCAATCCTTATATCATGGCGGAGATATTGTAAATGGACTATTGCTCCACCCTATATACGCATATACATACATACATACGCACACACACACGTACATCCCTTTTCGACATGAACTATAAAAATTTTTATATGCTGACATGTGTTCTCTTTCGTAATATATTTTTACATTGAAAAATTGTACAGAACAGAAACTGATCACATTTACAAGTATCTATGATTCATGCACAATTTGTTGCACAAGTTTGCGTATATTTATAGTTCTTTTTCTCTTTTAGGCAGCATTACAGAAACAAAACAAAATGAAGGCATGTTGGACGCTTCTTTGAGTTTCGTATGCTTCCCACTTATCATCCATTTAATTATTACTTAATAATAAATTGAATGAAATTTATCATTTATTAAAATGATTTGAAAGGTGCTTAGTGTAATAACACAATCCACCTTATAGAAAGAAAATAAGTAAACAAATTTTTGAATAAAAAGAAATCGGTAGTATAATTTTTTAATAATATGAATAAAATTACGTTTCATTCTTTTATGTTTGTTTTTTGAATAATTATTATTGCACCAGCACCTCATTTATATTTATTAAGTAATAATTCCACTACTAAAGTGTGCCAATTTTTTATTCCATTCATGTTCTTTTTATCTCATTTATTCTTTTACAAAACTTTTTCGAATATTAATACATATATAACATTTTTTCCTTTTATTATTTGCTCATCTAATTTATCTGTTATAATGTCTTATACACAGACATAAAAAGATCAATTTTAAAATATAATAAATTTGTGAGAATTTTTTAATAAATTAATTAAAAAAATTGTTTGGTAATAACATATTAATAAAAAATTTTCTTTTTTATTTATGTGATATTGAAAAAATTGAATTTTTTATTAGTTCATTACATAATATGTTAGTGCCATGAAGTAAAATTCATTTTTGACAGGAACATCGGCAAAATGCCTTGTTGGAAGTGGAGAAAAATATAAAGCAACAACAGGAGTACGAGATAGAGGTGCAATCTATGCTCAAGGCTCATAAAAAGAAGGTGAATTAAGTGCACACAATACCTGTATATCTTAAACATAAAAGACTGTTACATTTTTAGCTCTTAGAAGACGTAGCGTTGCAGCAGATACAATTGGAGCAAGAACTCGAAAAGGTTCAGCAAGAAAGAGACACGAATAGAGCGCGTTTACTCTCATACATTTACAATGGTATTCCTTTTCAATCTTTAACAAATTTTACACAAAATGTATTAATTTAGCAAACACACAAAAAAATATATATATATATGAATGAACTTTTTTTTTAGCGGAGCGAGAAGCTGATAATGTAATTAAAGAATTTCTGAGAAACAGTGAAGAAGAAAGACAGAGTCAGGCCGAGTTAGTAGAGCGAGAGAAGCAAGAAGAAATGCAACTATTAAGTTCTTGTCATTCAGAACAGTCCTTATTACGTACGAAAGACACTCTTTGTAAGTATCGAACATAAAGAATACTCAAAATCACGATTATTTGTGCATAAATATAAACTTATTTTGCAGTTGCAATGGAAAAATTATTGGAGGACGAAATGTGCAGAGCAAGGAAATGGGAAGAGCATACTAAATATAAAGACTACACCGTACAATCATTGCTTACGTTGTCAGTAACAAACTTTTTCTTTAAACATGCTTTTTATACGAGTCAGTCTATAAAATACATACAAAGATTATGTTAAATATATCATTTTATTTCAATGAGTAATCAAATTTTCTTCGTCTATTCGATGGGTAATAAACCTATGAGAAATTATTTATAGACTGAGTCTCTAAAAAAATTGCATAAATTGATTAATAAACTTTAATTATATTTTAAATAATTATGAACAGTTATGAATGAACAGTTTATATTATTATATATTATAACTATCATCATTATGTAAAAAGAATAAATTAAAAAGAATAAAATAAAAATTCGAATTAAGGGAAGTGAGGAACAACGATCACTTAGCACAGATAGTGCATGATCAGGAGAAAAGCAGGCAAGACCTTATTGATAGGTTACGACGGGATGAAGTCTTACAGAAAGCAGCAGTTACTGCATTGTTGGAAAGGAGCGATGCACGTTCTTGGAGTATTATTCAACAAATGAATCTCGTGCAATCGCAATTAGCTGCACTCACTAATATTGAACTTGAGAGACGAAAGTTAGAGATCACTCAACAGATTGTAAGTGTGCTCAATCTTATAGTATGCATTAAATAAGAATTAAAAAATATATCTTTGCTATTGTGTAACTTATAATTATATAAATCGTAATATAATAATTATATGTATAATTCACTAGATTTTTAAATTTTGTGAAGTTAAGTATTTATTAAAGTTATCAACCTCTTTAAATTTTAAATCCTTAAATATAATAAAATGTATTTTTATGTACATAATATATATTGTACGTATATATATTTGTATAGAATAAAATTAAATATATATAAATAATTTATATACGGATTTTTAGAATGAAATCGCTGATAAACGCGTGGCTTTAACAGATATTCTGATCGACTTATTAGAACAACAAACGAATAGGAGAGCTCAACTATTGGAGACAATTAATACAATCGAGCAACAGCGAGGCATCTCCGTAATTATGTTTCACTTTTTACTCTCAACTTTATTTAATATTCTATTTCTTTTTGCAACATATATATATATACATATATATAAATATGAGCTTTAAATGAGTTTAAAAAATAGTAAAACAAATAACAGAATAAAATAATAAATAAAGCAATAAAATTATTAAAAACTATTGACAGAACGTGAGACGTGATAGTTTGTTTTGGCTGATGCAATATCAATCTCTAATGGAAGCTCGTCCACAAGGACTACTGGAAATGTTAGAACCTATGCTAGTTCGACATATGGCGATAGCGGGAGTTTTGCACTGCCTTCCATTCTTAGCTACTTTACCATCTTTGTTACCAAACATTAGTGACGAACAATTAAAAAATGCAAGTATCTTTATTATTAAATTTTTAATAAACAATAAATAAATGTAAAACTTATAGTTATTGTCAACATTTATGTTTTAATTATTTAAAACATACATTTGTCATTTATATTGCATTTATTTTGCAGATTGGTATAAATTGCGAGAGTGATCGCGCTGCCATTATGTTTGCGGTTGAGAATTATCTATCAGAGATTAAATTGAGTGATTCTAATAGATCGCCTGTAACAGCTTCTGCGCCTCTCGAAGAGGCATCGACCAGCGATCAAGACTATAATTCTATTCAAAATGTCAACATAATCGAATGCGTAATCTGCTTCGATTTACAAGTAAATATTTTATACATATATTTCAAAATTTCTATGCACGATCAATGAATTTATTTCATTATTATCTCATATTATTCTTTTTTGTAGTGCGAGGTAATTTTTTTACCTTGCGGACACTTCTGCTGTTGCTCTATATGCGCGGAAAAAATTTCTGCAGAATGTCCAATGTGCAGAAGTTTAATAGAACGTAAAGTTCGAGTTGTACAGCCTTAAATTTATAAAACGAGGTTTTATTCAGCTTATTCGTGAATAATGTCAACTTGATGCTTCTTAAGAGTATCAAAATGCGCTATTCTTCTTGATCTGTGATTATGCACGTCAACAAACTGTTCCCATAGTAGTGGAAAGTATAACCACACACAAGTTATATTTACCACTAATATAAAGCTCATAAATATTGTATTCGTTAAATATTCTATTACGCCTGTGTGAGTACGTGTGTGTGTGTGCTGTGTGTATATGTGTGTTTTCGCACATGTATGTGTACATTACATTTATTTCAAAATAATGAGAAGTGATTTTTAACAAAAATGTTTAAAACAAAAATTATAATTGATTTTATCATTATTTGTCTTCTCTTCAGGTCATATAATTTTTACTTGAAGCATTTTTAATAAAAACCATTCTCATTTTAAAATAGGTGTATGAAGGATCTTAGACACCCTGTATATTGTGATTTGCAAAATTGTTCAATTTTATAAACTAGTTTTTTTATCACACAACACAAAACTGTAAAGTGTTTTCCATTGAAAATTCTTTGAACAATTTGATATTGATATGACAAAATTGGAATAGTATTTTACACAACTATAACTATCTATACTTTATAGATGTTGCATGCGCACTCCGATTGATAATTTAAATGTTAAATCAAATGATAAATTAACTTTCCAGAAGCAAAAATATTAAATTATAATACTTAAAATTTGCGTCGTTCTCTTTCTTTTTTAGTTAGAAAATATCATAAGAAAAAAAGACAAATATTATCAATTTACATCAAAAGACACAAGAAATATAGAAGATATTTATTGTGTGAATTTTTCTATACTTTATAATTATGTCATGTCGTAAACACTATACTACACACTATATTACATTTTACACTAATTTTACAAATCATGTGTGTATATTGAAATGTTAGATAAGAGCACAAATTTACACGTTAAAATTATTTTAATCATACGTAATTTTATATATACTTATATATAATTATATAAAATATGCTAGACAATTGGCTTTAGATAGATTTCAGTATTAATTGAAGATACCACCAAAACGAAATTAAAAAGGTATGAAATGTTCAAAGGAAACATATATAAAGAGAAAAAAAGGGATATATTTTATATCCTTAATACCTATACAAAATATAATTATTCTATTGTAATTAAATTAATCGCGTACATATCTTCATAAATTACAGAATAAATAAGAATATACAAGTACATCTGACAAAAAGATAGAAATACAAAATCTGTTAGTAGTCAAAGCGAGAAAATCAGTGCAAGCTTTTATAAAAAATAAATTTTACAATGGAATTTTGATAAACAATCGATTCTAGGAATTAGTACAATTTGAGTGTTACTGTTTGTCGAAACATTAACGTTATTTAATCGTGAAAAAGATTCCTATAAAATAATATAATAAAATTCTCATTTATGCAAATTGATCTTACCATCTCAAACTTTTAAATAACTAATTCTATTCTTTTTTTTTTATACAAAAATAGCACATCGTTTATAACATTACAATATTTTAAAATTATTAAGTGATGAATACCATTAAAAATGTTTAATGTATAATTTCTTATTATTACACACATAATAAACATAATAAAAATAAATATTAATCTCTTATTTAACTAGTTTTAGAATTCATGTTTTTTTATTATTGTTCACACTCTCTTGAGCATTTAAATTATAAATATCTTAAATTCTCATCATAGATATATTTTTAAGAATAGTACATTTGTGACAAATTCACTTCTTAGAAAATTTCAATAATTTCTCTTCCTGCTTCTTCATCTTCACCATTTACATCATCATCATCTTTCTTTTGTTGCTTTTTCTTCGTCGCGTCCTTCTTTTCTTTCTGAATCTTTTTAAAGTTCTCAAGAGATTCCTGCAATGGCTCAACAAACTGATCAAACTCGACATCTATTATCGCTTGTATCACGTCTGGACCACTGATAGTTTTGCGGTTACTTTTCTTGGCTACTATATTGGCAGCTGATGTGAGATATAATATGAAAATAGATGCGGCCTTTGCCACCGCTGTTCTGGCATCTTTTCCAACTGTCACTCCATCTGGTAAAGCTTCCTTGATGATTCTGGTCACAACTGCATTGGGCAGATTCAGATCTTCTAATCGCTCGGCCATCTATTTATCGTTTATATTTTTTCAATTCTTATAAATAAAGAATAATATAAAATACCGTAATCTTACAATTATAATATTCATGACATAAATTGAATTGACAAAATAGAATTAACATGTATATATTGTAGTATTATATTGTATAAAAATATGATACAGTTTCCTCACTTTAAAAGACATAACTAAAAAATGTTACTTTCAAGTTATTATGATGAATGAGTTAAATAAAAATTACTCTATATCAATCATCAAAAATAAAAACTTACTTTTATAGTTCATCTGCCAAATAAGGTTTTCAAAGAAAATATAATATCTTTTACGAAGTGATATATTTTTGAGTCAATAAATTATAAATACCATTAAAAGCTGAGCCAAGATATTTGTGTGTAAATTAATTTATTCATACAATAGTAAAAATTTATACGTTTGGGCTTACAATTCAGATTCTTTTCAGTACATAACAACTAATGTAATCAAACTTATACCTCAACTTATATCTCAACTAATAATATGTAATAAATTTAGTCAATGTAAATTATTGATCTGCTTGATAAATTAAATGAAATTCATAGTCAAATTTTTGCAATTAAAAGTTTAACAATATGAGCCTTATTTTTATGAAGCACATGACTTGTTATCATCTATCAAAGTATAACCTAATATTTGTCAGTATCTGTTAATATTGACAGTATTGACCATGTAGTATAGAGTCACTTTAACACATAAATTAGATTATAATGGATCTAAGATCAATATTCAACCTGATTTGACATGAACCACTTATAATTGACTAGAAAGTTTCTAGATTGAGATTCTAGATAAGTTTCTAGATTGAGTTTCTAATTGAGATTCTCTTATCCACAAGTCTTGGATTCAAGTATACATACATTTTGATTATTGTATGAATAAATTAACTTATACACAAATATCTAGTGTTGACTCTTAATAGTATTTATAATTTTTCGATTTATTTTTTTAGTCTATAGTTGTCTCATATTACTCAATATTTCTGAACCATTTTTATAATAAATAAAAATTAGTTTTCTACTTGTAGAACATTTGGAATCAAGATAATTTTGACAATCAAAGGTTTTAAAAAAAAGTTTTATTTTGAATTAGGTCACTATTGATGAAAATTATTCAGGATTTGTTATAATTTTATAGATTATTAAAATCATTACAATTCAAAAAGAATGATTTCTGGAGGTTTGTGAAACAAAAATGATGTGATCATTTAAGAATTTCTAAGAGTACATACTTTTTGTCAATATTATTTGATTAATCAATAATTTTCTGTTAAAAATTAAAAAATAGTTTGTTTTCTTTTCTGAAGAACTCAATTTTTTGAGCTGTGCCACTTTTAAAGTAAGGATATGTATATAAATATATAAATATCTTTTATGAATAGAGGAGTAATATTTGATAATTTTTAGGTTATCCTTTAGTAAGCAGTTTGTTGAAGCACATAAATTACAAAGACTAAATTGTAAAAAAATAAATAAAAATAGCAAAAATGACGAAAAAAAATGTTATTACCTCAATTTGTAATGTAAGAGAGTTTATTGGAGCTTTTCTACTAAAATCCCTACAACGATTTGAGGTTAAGTTTTTCCCGCCAACGACTCCGCAACAATTACAGTTGTAGAAATGAACCTTGTCGCAATGAAAATCGATATAATAAAGTGAAAACTTTGTAATATCAAGCGAAAAATCTGCGAATATACTGGCAAATTACGGTAATTACATTTTCAATGAATGCAACTACGCGTTCGAAATTCAAACAAAAATTAACGCGAACTACCGGAATCAAAGATGTCGTAATTTATGGATGAGTGCGGCAAAACAAATCCATCGAATTATTGGTATTCGTAGCTAATTGATGAAGAACGAATGAGAACCAATCACATTTGACAAGCTGTTAGCACGACGCAGGTCGCACTGACCGTAGCAGCGAGGCGGAATTCAGAGTAGGAAGGTTAGGTTAAGTTAAGTTAAGTCAGGTTGCCTCGTCGATAATCGCTTGTGCGCTTCGCGATCTCGAGAACAGTCGGTGAATCGAGTCGGTGCTGATACTGCTGATAAACGACAAGTGTAAAGATTAGAGATTAGTCTCGGCGTCTGTATGCAGACGCAGTGCTTTAACGAGAGGGGAGCGATTCTTAGGATTGGGACGCAATTCCGGGTATCGAACTGACATAACTTTGTCGTTGTGCTCGACCGCGGAGGAAAACGAAGGCACCATTCGGAGGAAAATGTCAAAGATCGAGGAGGCGAACGAGCACATACGTCAAGCTGAAAAAGCGTAAGGATTCCTCTCGCTCTCAAGGATTTTTTTTATGCTTACCAATCGCTCAGAGATTATCGGATTATTTAGAATGTTCCTCGTTATAGATTTTATATTGTTAGACATAGTGCGTCGATCTAATATTAAAATCAAAGGATGAACTCATGATAAACTTTTCAATAATTATGACAACTTTTCAAAAATTTTTTAAAACGTTCAGAAAAACTTGAAGAATACCATCTCATACAGGTACAATCATCCAGTGGCTTTATGGTCATCTTTTTCAATTCAATTCCAATTAATTTATTACTAGATAATTTTTACTTTTTAAATATTTTATATTATTTTGTGGATTAAAGTTAAGTCGATATGTTCTTGCAAGGTATATCGTATTGTGAAAACTACTATAATTAAGTTCAAATTTTAATAATATAATAAACTAATTTTTAATTATAATCCATTAGATACTGATTCGAAATTGACTAATTTTATTGTATAGCAAAACGCAGCTAGACAGTTAAAATTATTATTTTTTATAATCTCTTTTCTAAGCTTATAGTTAAACTTTTCAAAACTATACACTAGTGCTTAAAAGTCCATTTTTTATTTGTCTATCTTAATTTTTGTATGTCTTTTTTTATGTCTAATTCTGTTCTAATTTTATGTTCTTTGTACACATCATTTTCTTACTTAAAAAGTGACAGAATTTAAAAAATATGATTTTTGAGTCATTACTATGAATGAGTAAACATTAGTCTATTAATCATCAAAAATAAAAATTCATTAAAAAATCTTCAAAATCATCACTATTAAAAGAGATTGACTTTTTAAAGATTGTCAAACACAAAAATGATTAAATTAATCAATAATTTTTTGAAAAATGGAAAAATAGGTTTTCTTCCTTTCTAGGAAATTCATTTAATGTTAAGTTTTGGGACTTTTTAGATTGCATTATTTTTTAAGTGAGGAAAGAAAATACAGAATGTAAAATTTTAGACTTTACTAAAGATTGTTATTAAATCTGACATTTAGAAAATTAAGAAAAAAGAGGAGATTGAAATTAATTCTACTTTATTTAATTAAGAAAGATAAAATAGGCAAATAAACTTTAGAGCAGTAGTGTGTATTGTTTGTAGGTTTTTATGTGGAACAAATCTTCGTTTCTTTCAGTTTGAAACCTACATTCTTGAAATGGCGACCTGATTATGAGGTAGCAGCTGATGAGTACTCACATGCTGGTAAGAAAGATAGTAAATTATGATAATAATTTATTTTAACCAAGTATAGAAATAGAAAATATTTTATCAATGCTTGAAAATTCTATAATATATAATAAATTAAGAAATTAATCAAAAGACTTTTGCAAAGACAGTTGAACAATTTTAACTGTATTTTTAATTCTAATAATGTTTTTAATTCTTTAGCAACCTGCTTCCGAGTAGCCAAATCATATGCACAGTGTAAAGATTGCTTAGTGAAGGCTGCAAACTGTTATAAACAAACCAAAGCGTATCCTTTGATAACAAAGAATAATTTCAGATTTTTCAGTTTTAATTTTGTTGCAAAAATATCTTTTTATTTAATGCATTCAAAATTTTATTTATTATCATTTACGGTCAAGCTGGATTTTGGATGCTTCTAATATAATTTTCGTGTGAATTTATATACTACGTATGTAAATCCCTAAATGCACACTAAAATTTTACATATCCTCATGTATTTCCTTTAATTCTGCAATTATTATGAAACAGATGGTTCCATGCAGCAAGGTACATATCATGTATATATATATATAATGTAGGTTTTATCACGTAATATATTGCAATGTTATAAAAAACATAATATTTTCAGATGCATCGAGCAGGCTCTACTTGTCTGCAAGGAAATGGGGGATTTGTCAGAAGTATCGAAACTAGCTCATCGTGCTTGTGGTCTTTTCCTACAGCATGGATCGCCTGAATCAGGTGTTACTGCTCTCGACAAGGCAGCCAAGATGTTGGAAGCTACTCAGCCCCAACAGGCTCTGGAACTATTTAGACGCGCAGTTGATATAATCACGGTAAAAATCTTGCCTCTCTTTTTGAATAAAAATAACTATAAAATTATAGAAAAATCGATTATATGAAAAGGGGAAAGAAATATTGCATGAGATTTAATTATACGGATATATAATTTAAAAGATTAAAAAAAATTATATATATAAGACTTTTAAAAATGTATTAAAAATTAAATGTTAAAAACAATTGTACAAAAATACATAGTTAAAAGAGTTAAAGAAGGCCTGAAAGAAGATGTCTGTAGGGCGAGGATAATCCGCGACATGCAGCGGAATACATGAGCAAAGTTGCGAGATTATTGGTGAAGCTACAGATGTATGACGAAGCGGCGGATGCAATACGTCGTGAGATTGGCATGTATCAGGATATCAAGCTTTGGCAGTCACTCGGAAGACTCACTGTGGCATTGGTTCTAGTGCAATTGGCGCGAGGTGATCAGGTTGCGGCCGAAAAGGCCTTCAAAGAATGGGGTAACTTCTGCGAAGCCCCCGAAGTACGTGAGAAAGAAATATAATAAATTTTCTTAACATTAATAAAAATAAAAAGGAATTTATAAAAAATTCGTAAAATTTTCTTGATACACTGCTTAACGAAATATTTCTTAGTAATTGGAAAGTTGACGATCTATTAATCAAGATCGAAAAATATGTCAATTATGTTAATACGCGATTTATTGGTTCTTTAGGTGCAAACATTGGAGATGTTACTACAGGCATATGATAATGAAGACGCGGATGCAGCTCGGGCAGCCCTTAATAGTCCTTTTATCAAACACATGGATGTGGAGTACGCCAAGCTAGCGCGAGGTTTACCTTTACCACAACAGGAATACGCTATTCCACCTGCTGGAGTAAGAGCCAACGCCGCGGAATCCTATGTTTCTCCTAACACATCCAAAATTGGCGGACAGGCTACCGTCGAAGCTGAAGTTAACCACGTGAGTTCCATTATTATATTTTATTATTAATGCCATTTTATCATTGTATATTTGATTAGTTCATTAGGCATACAATAATTTGATTTTCTTAGGCAAAGGATGAAGTCAATGAATCTAGTCAATCAATAGAGAAGAAACCGATACAAAAGCGGGAAGAAGAGGACGATTACGAGGAAGGCCTATGTTAATTGTCTTTACATGTAAAAAAAGTTCTGTATTGCTTATAAACTTTTAATTGTATAACGCTTGCATGTATATTGAGCGTTTCATCGCATCGAAACACATTATTCGCTTCAAAAGAATTTGTCTTTCAGCTTAACTTTTAACAGAAATTTTAACTATCGGAATTATTATAACGTAATGCAAAAATGTGGAAAGGAATAAGGATTCATTTTTTTTTATATTTTAAATTTTCATTCACACAAATATGTCACTTCAATTTATTTATTAATACCTTTTTTCTTTCTACAGAATTCTTGTGAAAGTTTCTTTCCGAGATTTAGAACTTATTAATTTATGTGGTATTAAATCTCATAGAACAGTACATGAGAACACAACTTGTGATAGGAAATGAATGCCTTAAACGATCTAGCTAGATCTTAGACTGGAATTAAACTATGTCTTAAAAATTGAAATTGAAGATTAAAAATTGAAATTTCACTAATGAGAACAAAGAAATTTTAGTTCCTTTTGCTTTGATTGGTCAAACTTCAGTCTTTTAATCTCATTTTTCAATGCGTAGTTTGATATTAACAGCCTTAAGTACTTGTACAATTCTGTGTGAATCCGAGTTTGACTCTCAGCTGAGGTAATATTTTTCGCAATAAAAATTAATTACAGATTGTAGTATGTCATTCGACATTATTAAGATTCTAAAATGTGTAAGAGCATTGAATTGTTAAATTGTTTGTTAATTTAATTTGTGATTACTGCGGCAGTTCAGTAGACTCTGCGTTTAAAAACTGAAAAACCATTTGGCACGCAGTTTAAAGGACCACATATGTACATAGTATATAAATTCACAAAGAATTATACAAGCACTTAAGCTCCAACTGAATGGTTTAAGGCATTAATTTATTTAAATTAATTTTTGTATACTTTAATTTTTGAAAAATCATAAATGTTATATATGTTAAAATTATAAATGTTAAAATTTTTTATACTTTAATTTTTCAAAAACGACAAATGTTATATATGGAAAAAATATATTTTTATTGAAAAGATTTATGGGTCAATTCTAACCAAACTTGTAAGGCTCGTAACTAGTCTTTGTAAGACTGGAATTGTAATTCTATGCGTATCGTAAAGTATATATAAAATACGTTCATAAATACTTACAATTTCTCATAAATCTTACGGCTAGCAAGAAGTTGTCTGTAAAAACTTTACGTAAAGTTATAAGCATTACAGTTTGTGATTTTATGATTTAACGTTTGCTTAGAATTAACCCATTAAGTGTGCCATCAGGAATACAAAAATTTAATTATCTTCTTGGATTGTGATAATACATAAAAATATTTCACAAAATCCATCTTTTATGAATTATTCAAGTAGCATACGGCATCTACAA